TATGCTAGAATCGTCCAAGCACAATGCTACTACTGTACTACCTGCTCTTGAGGTTTCAAACACGCATAAGCAAATGCTTGATGTGCTCTATGAACAGACAAGCATACCTGTTGGTGTACTTTATCTTTCAGTTTTTAGTAACAACACTTATGAGTGCAGTATGATAAAAAAAAAAATGCAAAATTGGCAGACTAAGTTCTATACTTAACAGATTCAGCTCAAGTCCTTGACACTGCAAGTGCAGAATTAGCAAATCTTTTGAAGTTTCAAAGGAAATTGGATGTCACTGTCCAGGTCTTCCATGGGCCCAGCCTGTCAACTGACTGTATAAATCCTTCAGGAATCTACTGCTGTAGACTTCATCTCATTTATGTATGAACATTATAATGTTCCACTTTATGGTCTTAAATTTGCATAAGCATTATCAAAGTGTAAGCCTTTGAATTCCAGGACCGGTGATACAAATGTTCTCATACTTCAGCATTTACACTCTGCATTAGACCTATTATCATTTGTATTCAATTGTTTGGTCTACAGAAGTGTTACCCATTCATTGGATGTCTGTTGTGGTCCTTCAATTCTGAAAACCTGTTAATCCCTCCCACTGTATCTAATAGTTCATCTAATATATATATTTTTATTTTCATAAGCATTTTCATGAATGCTTAGCCTTTAGTTTTATGAATTCCATTAATGTATCAGCACGCCTCTTAACCCTTTGAGGGTCGACAGGCCCTCTCCGAGACTCGTTCTCAGGGTCGGCCAAATTTAAAAAAAAAAAAAAAATTCTTATGAAAAGATAGAGAATCTTTTCCTGATCATAGTGACACCAAAAGTATGAAATTTGATGGAAAACTTACGGAATTATGCCCTCGCGAAGTTAGCGGTCTCGGCGATGTTTACACATCAGTGATTTTGCCCACTTTGAGCCCTATTTTCGGCCAATTCCACTGTACTAGTTGACAAAAAACATGAATATTTTACTAGAACTCCATTTTTTTTCTATCGAATGAGTGCAAGAAACCACTCATTTACCAATTTCAACTATCCAGTACAGTGGTCAGAATTTAAGAATTTTGCCAATTTCACACAAATTTCAAAAGATGCCAATTTCTGAATAGGGTCCAGAATAAACAAGAAAGACATTCCTGGCACTAAAATGACATTTCCTCTGTTCATTAGTCATGTCTCAAGGCCTCTCTTACATTCTTTTGCTTTCCGCTTTGAATTTTTATTCTCACAAAAAATAGAAGATTTACTGTTACGCAGACTTCTGCATTAGTGTAAAAAATGGTATAAATAATATTGGCGCACTTGCAAAAGAATATTACTCGCCAGTTGACGTGTATTGAACGCTTGGCATGATTTGTTTACTTTTGAACTTTGGTAAAAATCGAACATTTCTGCTACTTTGAGCTCAATTTCAAGGTACTTTTCATTGTAAAACCAGTCAAAATCATCTCAATTTCTGTAATATGTCTTCCATTCTGTAAAATGAGACCAAGAAAACTAGAATACAACAATAAATACCATACAAAAATACAGTGCAAAGTCGCTGTTTTATTTCAGAAAAATGGTCAAAGCTTTTTTTTTCTCATTATGCACTGTGTGCTGCAGGATTTTTTTTATACTGTGCACACTGACCACATAGACCCATTCTTTCATATGTAGGCCTACCAGCTTTCTCCCACTAGATTTGAGGGCGCTAGAATTTAGGCGTACTAGTACATCAGAAACCCTGGGTCTTAAGCCGTACTAGTATGGCTGAAACCCTCAAAGGGTTAAGTATCATGGCTAATGTACAATGAAGAGGGGGAAGGGGGTGTGAGGGTAAAGTAAAAATGTCAGGTAATAAGTTTAAAAGGTGCTAGTTGTGAGGCAACAAGTTTAACCCTTTCAGGGCTGGAGCCCCTGATCTGAAACTTGATGGAAAACTTAAGGAATTAAGCTGTCACAAAGTTAGCGATCTCTGATATTTACGCATTCGTGATTTCACCCACTTTGAGCCCTATTTTCGGACAGTTCTATTCTTCCAGTCGCCCAGACTCGTAGCTATTTTGCTAGTATTCCTTCTATTGATTGAGTACAAGAAACAATTAAGTGATCAGAAATTGGGAATTTGGTCAGTTTCACACAAAATTCAAAAATTGCTAATTTCAAAAGAGGGTCCAGAATAAACGATGTTGATTTTCCTGATACCAAAACATTTCCTCTGTTCATTAGTCATGTCCTCAGGCCTCTCCTATATTACACTTGTTTTCCATTTTGAATTTTTATTCATACAAAAAATAGATTTATTGTTGTGGAGACTACTGCATTGTTGTAATAATTGTATAAATAATGTCAGTTCATTCCTAAATGCACATAAGACTGGCCAGATGGACACCTATTGAATGAGAGATATTGTGTACTTTGGAATATCGGAAAAATCTAACAATTTCCGCTCCTTTGAACTTGGTTTTGCAGCGCTCTATAGCCCTTGTGGCTTAGCGCTTCTTTTTGATTATTATAATAATTGAACTCGGTTTCAAGCTACAATGGAACCCTGAATATCGGCTGCTGCATTTATCAGCTGAATTGTATTTAGGCTGGTTTTTGGGCCGAAATTTTGCTCTGTATTTCGACCACTGCCTCACAAATTGGCGTGTTTTTATCACGTAGCCTCGGTCCCGGTTG